TATTTTCATTGAATAGTACACCTTAATTAACAGTTTTCCTTTTTATTTTCTTTCTTTTTTAGTTTTTAAGAGGGCTGTAATACTGGTGTATAAGGAGAACTACAAACTGAAAAAGAAAATGGTAAGTCTGGTATCAGTGGACGTGGTGGGTGTTCATGCACAGGATCCTACTGCAGTGCGAGATGGACAGTACCGGTGTTGAAGGGGGAGTGACTGTGGTGAAATGCCACCTTCCCTCGCTAGGCTGGAATCCTAGCTGTCACAGCTAAAACAAGTGCTCAGTATCTGTGTAGCAATAAATTTTTTTTTTTTGTTACTTAGTAAGCAGCACCATCTTCTCTATGTGAGCCCCATGTTAGTTCCATCAGGTGGAATATGAAACATTGCTATGTAAGAATCATTAATTTTTCCAGATGGCATTTACGATGGCCTACCTTAATGTAGTGTGTAGGTTAAAGACCTGTGTTTATAGACCCTTGGTCACCCTGGAAGGAAAGGAAAAGGGGCATTATAAACATAACCTCCTCTGTCCCCATTTACAAAACTGGAATGCTGAAGTCAAGTAGCAAGTTGTATATCCTGAGTACCAGTGGTGAAGTACTGCACCATGCTTGCTTATCGTAACAGATGGAGGGGCACTAAAAGTAGCAGCAGCAGCTACATGATTAATGTATTCTGCTAATCAGCAGTCTGCAGGTTCCTTCATGGGAAACTTGTTCCCTAGTAGTACTTATATGCAAAGTATTATTTTTATCCATTAAAAACAAGTGCTTTCAAAGTTGAAATTCCAAAGGTTGTGTCTATCACCATTTCAATTACGTTTACAAGCACATAGTAGGGTACTGAAGGAAAAAGTCTAATGAACTTAGTTTCTCTTCAGAGGCAGGTCTTTTAAGAGTAACACAAAAAAACCCAACGTTTTTTACTTTTACTTCTTAGAAATATCCTTGTTGTTTTTCTTTTTGCAGCCTACTAATGTTCGTGCTGCACATAATTATGGTGACTTGGATCCGTTTAAATTTCGTTGGCTGATTCCTTTATCTGCTCTTCAAGTTCGACTGGGGAACACAGCAGGTAATTTCCTTGCACTGAATACTTTAGGATTGAATGCTTTTTCTGGGATTTTGTAATACTGCTTCTTCGACATGTCTTTGTGGAGCCTATGGAAACAGGCAGGTGTGGAGAAAATAGTATCTACTGTTGTCTCTACACTCAGGAAGGAGTACAGGCTTGAGATATTAACAGACTTTGTTTGGTATGTTGGCTTATTCCATGAGTTCAGGAAGATACAAGATGATGTGAAGGCATGACAGAATGGAAATCCCCAGTGAAAAGATACCATGAACAGGAAGGTGATTTACCATGGTTGACATCCTGGTGATGCCCTTATGCTGTGTGTGTGCTGACCCTTGTGTTTTTCCAAATGTGGGAAAGTTGACTGTGTAATTTGTGGTAGTAGAGGGCTGTGTTTTTATTTTCCCTTTGAGTTGATCTTTATGATCCTATCCAGTTCTGTATCTTCTGTAAAGTGTCGCTAGGTGTCCAGAGCAAATAAATGCTTTGTGCACCTGGGAGAACGCCTTTTAAGGCTGGAAGGCAGTGAGAAGCAATAAGAATGGGGGAAAGGAACTCTCCAAGAGAGAAGTTAGCAAAGGCAGCACTAGGCTGCTGCAACAGGATTGTTCAGGGGACTTTCCTTTGAGTTCTGTCTTGGGTGAGATCTTCTGTGGACCCACCCGTGGCTATGTTAACACTGCCTTCAGGAGCGGAGGAGCTCTTCACTGGTCTTTCTAATGCCAAAGGTTTTGTGAAGTGTATACAAAAATGAAGTTTCCTTCCATGCACAGGAACAGAAAACAGCTGTATCTGGGAACTGATTCACACAAAGTCAGAACTAGAAGGCAGGCCAGAAACAATTTTTCAGTTATGCAGCAGGTAAGCTTTACATGGAGGTTGTATTTGACAAATCACACTAATAGAATTAAAAAAAATAAAAGATTTTCCCCTGCGTGACCTTTGCATCAGCACTTCTAATGCGGTCTCACTCTTTGAATCCAGGCACTATGCCAGTGTTTAACTGCATAAAGTATAACAATTTGAAACCGGAGTGAATTTGGCACAGTGATCCAACATCAGAAATCTGCATAGACATATGATCATAAGTTTCTATACTATATGGTTAAAGTAACTGATTTTATCAGAGTCTCAGCTGGTTAGCAGAAATTACTTTGTGATAAAGACCACTTAAGGGGTGATCCCTTGGTACAGAAGTTACCTTTCAGGTTGTTTTCCTAAGGGGAAGTAACCAAGATCTCAAAACACAGAGCATGTGAAATGCCTAACAAGACATAAAGATGTTAGCTGCAAAACCACTACTAAAGCAAGCTACTGAAAAAAACCCACTGCATTAAAGCAAATCAGCAGAAAGGAGGCGGGCAGATTTTATCCCAATAGTGTCTTTCTTCAGTGGGGAAAATTAGGTTATCTGTTTTCTTAAACTTGCAGTGACTGTGAGAACAAGACTAACATCGTGAAGGTGATCCGTTCTATTTTGCGGGAGAATTTCAGACGTCACATAAAATGTGAGCTACCGCTGGAGAAAACATGTAAAGATCGCTTTGTCCCCCTCAAGAACCGTGTACCTGCAACAGCCAAATTGGGTAAGAAACAGATTCTCAAAGTGAAAAATGGAGTCTGGACTCCAGCACTGGCAGAAGGTTTGCAATTACCATGACTGTAGCGTGTCATGTGCCAGACCCACAAATCCCATTTTTTTCAGGAAGGTGGTAGAGTTTCTCCACAACTAAATACATGACAGGGGCTAGAAAAGATAAGCAAGCTTGCCATCCCCTCCCTGCCAGTGATGTGTCATTAGCTCTCTTAAGGGAAGACTTAGTAAGGCCCAAATTAATTTTGCTGGAAAGAAGCAGACTCCCTTTGGCACGCAGCGTTTGTACTCTTTCCTCTGGGTTCCCTTTAGTAACTCAGCCCTAATAACATTTAAAGCTAAAACAGCTGGCAAAAGGCAGGGGTCTTGCTGCTTTCAGTGCACTAAAGCTGCATCCCAGCAGATACCCTAATTAAGTACAGGCTTCAGACATTTTAGTTAAATGAGTAGCTACTAGTATTTCAAATTCTCTATCTGATCAGTTGTCTGTAAAATCCCCTTAACATCACAGGAACTGGGACAGTTCAACTCCCCCCTACAACCTGGCCCTCCAGTGTTTGAGATGCCTGAATCAGCCTTGCTTTCCTGTGGATGTGTGTAAATCATTACTACAATTTTTGGAGGATTTTGTATATATTACACATGAAGGCAAGCATATAGCCCTGGGGTTGGTGGAATGAAAACTCTTGACATGGGATTGCACTGTTGGTATCAGAATGCTGATACATCTGACCTGGGATGATTATCAAATGAGACTATGTACACTGTAATTATAAGTAAGTGGGCTATTGAGACAGACAGTATAACCAGCTGATGTTTTACTGAAAAAATAAAACCACCTTTTTTCCTCTGCACAGCTTCCACAAGGTCCTTGAAGGTACTGAAGAATTCATCCAGTAGCGAGTGGAATGGTGACCCAGGGAAAGGCACCTTCCAGGACTCTGATGAATGCAGTCTGAGCAGCAGTACTCAGAGCAGCAGCTGCCACACCACTGACAGCATACAGGAGCCCAAAAATTCATCTCCCGATAAACATGTACAGAGCTGCGCATCTGACTTTTCTAATGTTCTTGTCAAAGAATCTGATATTCTCAGTGATGATGATGATGAAGATGACTATCGGAGCCTAAAGAAGGGCAGCCCTACGAAAGACATTGAAATACAGTTCCAACGGCTGAAGATTTCAGAGGAACCGAGTACTGACTCTGAACGGGATCGGGCTGCTGAAAACGAGGAAGGAGATGGCTTCGAGACAGGAGAGCATCCAAAGCTGGTGCGTGGCCATTTCTGCCCAGTGAAGAGAAAAGTAAACAGTACAAAGCGTAACAGAGGAACTTTAATGGCAATGCAAGAACATCACCAGTCCCTTGACAGTCACTCTGATGCTGCAAACCTAGATCTGAACTCTATTTTAGAGAGAGAATTTAGCGTCCAGAGTTTGACATCTGTAGTTAATGAGGACTGCTTTTATGAAGCTGTGGAAAGGCATGGGAAATCCTAGCTTTGTAAGCACTATATTTAAAATATTCATTTGAAGTCCACATAAAATTCAACAAACTTATTTTGCTTTAAAACTAGTACATTCATGGAGGCTGCAGGAAAACTACTACCCGATTTTGTGCACTAATACATTTTTTTCCACAAAAACAGCTGTAAAGGATTGTTAAGTTATTTTAATTTATTGTGGATCAAAAATAGATTAAGTTGGCCAAGGTCTGTAAATTAGTTCAATCCCATTCAAGCAGTTATTAAGATGATGTAGTGTTCTTGGGGAGGGGAAGGGAAGGATGGCCTCATTAGTATTTTAAGTGACATGGAAAAGGTGCTAGTGAGTGGCAGAGGGGATTACAATGGAAAGTAGCATTGCAAAATGAATTTTTCAATACCTTGGGCATTTTATTTCTTTGGTTTTCATTTTTGCTTTATTTAAAGCAGAATTAAGTTATTTTAATGTGTTTTAGTGCACAATAGTGCAGAAATTTCATTTTTGTAAGTTTCAAGATGCTGTTTATACTTTATACATATGTGTAAATATACAAAAACAAAGCTTGGCCTGTAATCTTTTATTTGACTGTATTTTTTATTTTCTCTACCAGCCTGTACAGTAAAGGACAAATAAGTATTGTACTTAACCATGTTTCTACTTTTTATCATGCTGCTTTTCTCTAGTTGGAGCTTTAAATCCCAAATTCTTTGCTTTTGCATAAATGAGAAGAGTATTAGCAGACCTTGAGGCAATCTGTGCACTTTATCCTCCTTTAAGCCAGTCACTTGAGTATATTTATACAAGAGTTTTGGCTTTTGTTTTTTAAATTACTCTGAACAGTAGGATGTTCCAGGATAAAAAGAGCACAAAAACCCACATGCCATCTTACATGCTGAAGTACGAAAAGTATTTTTTCTTATGTTTCAATAATTCACTTTTTTTCATACAAAACTCTTATTTCAGAACTATCCCAACTTAATTACATGTCTCACAACATATCTTGTTTTTGGTATATGTTCTAGCCATTCCCCCGAATTAAAAAGAACCTGTAGGCTCCTTGTAACTTTGACTGTCTTTTCGCTTTTGTCTGCAGCTGAATGGAATGAATAAATAAAATGGGAAAGCCCTCTCTCTCCACCACTTTCTCAAAAGTAGTTCTTCCATACCTGCACAGATGCAGGAATATATAAGCCTCCTCTTACTGAATCAACACCTCTAGATCAAGGAGTTAAAACTAATTAAAAAAAAAAAAAAAATCAGTCTGCTGCAATTACAGCTCATTTTCCTCTTCAGTCTGTTCAAGCTGACTGGTACTTTTAAGTAAAGGCCTCATCTTCTTTTGCTTTAGTTCTTCTCTGTAATTGTACACAAAAAGGCTTGGGTCTTCATCGCACATTTTCCTGTATGTATCGCACAGACTTCTGAACTGTGACATGGAGAGCTGAAAAGGACGCAGAGTTGGATCGACATTTGCTGTCATCATCAGCTCTTCTGTTCTTTTCAAACGTCCACTTTCAGGGAACAAGGTCCTAAAAGGTGTGGGGAGAAGACAAACAAATTCAAAGAATTCAGTTTCCCTTAAGAGTAACAGGATCCTCTTGGGCATTTACTTAATAGTAAACCTACATTAAGTATATCATTATTTTAGCTCTGGCATTCTTAATATAGCACATTATGTAAGCAAATGGAAACCTAGAAGGGCCCTTTTTCTGCAAATGCAAATTATGACAACATAGGAAAGCATATACATACATTGTACATTAAACACAAGCATATATGTTTGCTAACGTTAGAGAGAGCTTTGGGTATGGATACAGTCACATAGCTGCCTTAGAATTAGCCTCATATTTAGAGAGCAGCAACAGATTAAACTGTGCAAAGCAGATCAGATCCAAACCATATGACTGACTTTCAGGCTGTTTCATTCCAATGGGAAAGGTATTATCAACTTGTCATTAATACCATAATTCCAATGCCAGAAAAAAAAACAAGAAGGAGGAAAGGAGTATTTAATTATCATTTGCTTTTTAGTATTTAGAACTTGGAGAATGTGCTAGGAGCCCTAGATTTTGTTTTCAGCTCTGTCACTGTTCATAGTCAGTCATATCAGTTCATTTACTCTGTAGCCAGACACATTAGCGCCTCTCTCTCGCAAGTTCCCCAAATTTTAGTGAATAGTATTAGTTCAAATGATTTCTAATGTCTCACAAAAATGCACACAAAGTGCAAACTATTGAAAGGACTAGCTCTTATTAGCAGTAGTTCTCAATCTACAATGAAAATTTGCACATGGTTGATGTGCATGTCTCAATTTTCAAATGATCTGCCTCTGTCATACATACATAAGACCTAAAAATACTGTGCATCTAATACAGTAACACCCCAGCTGTGTTTTGCAGGTTGGCTGGATAAGCTAGTCAGAAGGCTTTGTGTAAGTGAGTTTGGTCTTAGTGGACAGATGGAATACAAAGTTAAGAAAGGGTTTAAAGTGACAAGAAAAGCTGGAACTTCTGGGAACAACCTGGGTTAAAGCATGTGCTACTCCAGGCCTTGGTCAAAAATGTCCCCATTAGTTCAGCACCTAGGTCAGCAAGGTTAAAATGGATCCATCCTTATTTTTATACCCCTCCTGAAGTTTTTCTCTCCATTGATTGGGTAGTTGAGACACATACCTGGAGCCAAAAATGTTTAATTGCCCTTTATATAAAGACTATGAACCATCCTATAAATGTCCATGAATAGCAACTCAAACTACAATATTTTTCTTCAGGGACTTACTAGCTTATTCTTATATGCCATGTGTCTCAGATCCCAGAATTTACACGCAAATGTAAACTGATTCTATTAACTTGTTTTTGTACAGTATATGTGAGACAGATACCTTATAATGAACTTAATAGCCTTATTATACATCAAAATTTGCTATTTTTTTCAGGTCAGCTAAAGAGTAAGAGGACTGCGTTTCTTAGCTGCACACTACAGCTAAAGTATGATAAGCTGCTAGGGAATATGTGATGTCCAAAAGTTCAGATTCCCCCTCCTTGCCTCAAAAGAATGTAGAGCAGTTATTAGCAATTTGAGATTACACAACAGTTGTGGGCTTTGGGGTTTGTGTTTTGGTTTTGGTTTGTTTTTGGTTTTGTTTTTTTTTAACTTTGGAAAAAATATTCTACATAATGTAGATATGTTGATTGCACATGCCTTCTGCTTACACTGTCAACAGAAACAGTTCTTCCACAAAAAAACCTCCCAACAAAACACCACCCTGTAAATCAAATACAAATCAATCTAGAGTTTGGATACCTCATTTTCTAACCACCTCCAAATGCATACTCAAACCTTAACACAGGCAAATCGGTACTCATTTTAGATCCAGTGTCTGCGTCCCTGACATGAATAGATTCACTGCCTCAAGCAAAAAAAAAAAAAAACCAGTCTGGAGGCAAAATTCTATGTTCACCTTTAAAAGTGACGTGTAGGGCTTGTAGTTCCATAAAAAGCATCCACGCTAATTCTAGACTGCATCAGGGCCAAAATCATGCCCAGCAACATTCAGTTAGCCCAAGCTGCAGCAGCATGCCTCTAGTCCTAACAGCAGCTCTGTCACGTGTTCTACAACGCCGAATGCTGGGTTTTTCCCGTACCAAGTCAGACGTGGCTATGCTGGAGTTTTAACAGGATCCTTGGTGAACAGACTGCAGGTTTCTTGCATCAGAGAACCTAGTAAATTCCCTCAGTAAGACATGGGGATTTTTAAAGAGTCAGTAAGAACTCCATAAAAGGGCAAGTGCAAACCCAACAATTTGACCTTTTGACATTATCCCCAAATAAGTAAAATTTCGCACAGATGATGTTCTCCCTCCTCACACTGCCATCTTTGGTTCTGAATTTTGATACCTTCATTTTTTAACTCAACTAACAAATGCTGTAGTTTTTGTAGTTGGGTTTTTTCTTTGGTTTCTGAGACAATCAGTTGGAAAGATCACCAATTTACCCTAGCAATTTTAACAACTTCAACTGCTCTAACAAAAATGCACAGTAATTATTATATAATTACAGTGGAAAAAGATTCATCTCATACTTTTATCTCCAGAAACCACTCTGAAATGGAAAGATCTGATGAACTATGATGACAAATTTAAAATGGGACGAATAAAATCAAATGCATAGCTACAAGTGTTTCTCAACTGATTTAGTAGCTGACACATTTACAAAACCATTATCTGAGAATTTTTCATTAAAGATCCTTACCCAATTCCACGGAAGCAGTATTTTCTTCTAAACTGAAAAACACTTTTAACCACTTTTTCTACTAGCTCAAACGGCTGCTGTATCTTTGGTTGCACCAATGGCGTGAAATGTACCACAGCCACATCCACCTACATGGAAAAGAAAGATAAATTTGAGTAGATATATTCCTGAGATGATACATTATTTCTAAGTTAACTGGCTAGACATGAGGAAACAGGCAGAACACAGGAAGACGTTATTGCAACAGGTAACATAGCTGTGCAGTGACTAATGTCATCGTAGCTGAATATAAAGATTTGGCTTAACTTTCAAGGCCCTACAGAATTTTAGTCTTAGTCATCTGCATATTTCCAATTAGTTCACATGCCATTAGTACTTAGTGCTTTTTTCCCCATGGCACCTCCTCCATCTAGAACAACTTCCATGTAATCTGTAAAGTAATTAGCACTTTCTTTAGATCCTTCCACAAGACAATTCTGACGTGATATACAAATTAGACAATATTCAATATACAGGCTGAAGGGCAGCTGGAGAAAATTGGTATTATAATTAGAAATCAAACCCATTCCCTATATGTTTTCTGTTGCTCTAGGGCTTTTCTAAACTGTAAGCCAAGGAATTACTTTTCAACATACTAAGATTTTAAAATTCTAGTCTTTTTAAAGGAATGGTAGGTAGAAATAGGTTTGCATTCAGTTCAAGTGACCATACAACTTTGTATTTACACTGTGTATCACAGTTCATCCAAAATTATATCTGAATTATTCTACAAAGATTTTTTTCAAGCTTGTTTTATTCTTTTATTGTTCTAAAATCAGCTTGGTTCACAGAACGGTCACTTTGCCTGTGTCTGAAAAGAGAATGAAATAATATCCTCCCTTCAGTGTACACACATATATATATATATATATAAAAACCACAAAATATGTCACACAATTACAGAGACACTGTATTATACAGAAATGCCCTGAATTCAGAATTCTGTGTTTAAAAAATACAGCCTGGGCTAAAAATCCAGTTCTGTACAACATTGAACAAAGCAGTTCATCTTCTAAACTAGGTATTAACAACAGTAAAAATGAAAAATTTCATGGAGGAGCACACTGAAAATTTGTACAATTTGTACACCTACTGGTACTGAATGACTATAAAATTTTTAAGTGCCAGACTGTTAAAAATATTCAGTCTCTTATTAAAAAAAGTCTGCTAATGCAATGGACAATCATCTATCTTTTTAAAAGGTCATAGAACAGATTCTATGTGATGTTAAATTGAAGACGTGCTAGTTATGACTGAAATAAAAGATACACTCAGGCCAAAGAACAGCTTCTGTTCTAAGCACACTCTCAGTGTACCAATTGTTTGAGAAAACCCATAGCAAGAGAGTACTTCAAAAAAAAGAGGTTTTTTCCTACTGTTTTAACTAAACCTGCTCTAAGTTTGTGGGTTTCTTTAAAATCAATTAAATTGCAGTAACCTCTGATGCGGACATATTCTTTTGGCACATAGGTGCCATCCACCCATGTTGTACTTTCAGTGGGAACAGCTCAGCTGTCAAGTACATCTATCCAGTACAACTGCTTCAACAGCAGAGGTTCTGTATTTGCTTAAAACAGAAATTATGAAATTCAAACAACATAAGTTTTTCACATAGACAGAACATACGAAGCTGAACAAAAATACTGGCTAGAGAAAGGAAAGAAAATACCGATTAATGCTGCTGATGAAAAAAAACCAGAGCAAGGTTCCAGTATTAGCACTGCTGATCTCAAGTATAAGTTACACACAGTGTTTTTTGTCTTTTCCACCTTTCTGAAAGCTAGAGTTAAGAATAAGGCAGAAAAAAAATATTTAAATTACTTAAATGTAAAGACACAAGAACTTATTTAAAAATGGGATGACAAAGAAAACTTGACATATGGAATCTGCAGTGAAACACCATAAATGTGTTTTCCAAAGGAGTTTCTGAATTTCTCAAGTATGAATAGCTTCCACCTTTGCCACACGTTGCTGCTACCTGTCAGGAAGACCACAGGAACGCAGTGAAAACTTGTGTTCACAGTGACTGTCAGAAAAGTTTATCTTTTTGAACAGGGCAAATAATACAGACTTCATATGACCAATCAGCGCCTTATACAGAAATACTAAGGGCTTATTTACACATGTATATGTTTATCAAAATTTTTGTCAAGAAATAGAACAAGATATTTCCCCCACAAAATTAGGGGTAAGAAAACCACCAGAGACCATTTCGGATCTCCTAGTTGCCTCAATTTTGCAAAGCTGCTTGTAAGTGAGATATGACGGCTCTTTGGGAGATGGAGCTGAATCTTTAACAAAAATTTCTGAAGGAAAAGAGAAAAAGAATACAATCGAGATGCAGTGTACAGTTTAAGAGAAAAACAGCTCAATTTGCAGTCTCAAGGCCAGTGGGCAGTAATTTCTGCTTCTGAAACAAAACACAGCACTTCTCAGCATTTGTTCCTTTATAGACGCTGTTTTCTTTGGACCCCAGGAAAGCTGCCTGGTTACTATAGCAACAGATACAGCAGAATGCTTTTCACTTGTAATTGGCCACTCCTTTAATATTATACATGCTATTTTTCCTTAACCTTTTTAATACACATAAAATAGAGAGTAGAATTATGAAAGCCAATAGAATACACAAGAGCACTTAAAATACACAAGTTAATTTGCTGATAATTTTATTAGTAACACTTTTTTTTCACCTCATCAAGTATGCTAGAAATATTTACAAAATAACACTCAATTCTTACAAAATAATGAATATGAAAATTATTCAACTGATATATCCTGAACTGTCAATAGTACAGCAATTATTCACCCCTTGCTGCTTTAGTGTATCTGTACAATGAAGGTTTATGTTCTGGTAGGGTAGGAGGAACACATGACAGTACAATTTAATTCAGAGAAGTCTGCTGCCTTGCTGATGAAATCAACACTCTAAATCAGAATAAGCTTCAATGAGACAATTTTATTAATTGTTGACAATAAAGGTCTCATGACAGGCGATACTTGTATCAAAAGCAAACCCACATACCCTTTTTCAAGCTGTAATTTACTCACAGGGAACGGAAACCTAAGCAGAACATATTACAGGTTCATTAAAACAGACTGCTTGAGATCCTACTAAGATAGTTCTAAGCCAGCACTTTCACCAACCAAGTGTTCAGTACCAACATTTTATCTATTACAGACAAATGTTAGTGTATCTCATACCAATCTTGTTCTGATGCGAGGGTTTCATTTTGGTTCACTTCCAGCAGAAAATAACCGTGCCACTGCACTAATAGCAATAATCTAATTCCTGTGTAAGAACAGCTTTGTAATAACTTAACTCTATTCACACTAGGCTCACACACAGGATCACAGGAACCCAAAAGTCAGGTACAGAACCTATGGGTATCTCACTGCTGCAATCAGCAAGACTTTGCTCCTAACTTCTTGACTTCACACACCAACTTAAGGCCACTTCTCTTATGTGCTGCAGTTACCATATAAGCCTTATTAGTAACTTTATTCCTTCGCTCTTTTTATACAGACTCATACAGAGGTAACAAGTTATGGGATGACCTACAGAAGGCTAAGGCTATCAAGAAGAGATAAGCAAAACCTGTAGTTGAATAGAAATGTCCTGCTGTTCCAATTACAAATTAAAATAAATTGCATAGTTCTTTGCTAGGAAATTTAAACTCTTAATAAGATTATCTGTGATGAAAAAAACCCCAACAATCGACAAACAACAAAACCTTCTGGCCTTGGCTCTCAGTTAAACTTAAATGAATTCTACCCTCACCCCTCATCCCCCTCCCCAAATCCATAAGACTACAGAGTTTCTGGATTCTCAAGAGTTTACTCCTTTCAATCACTGTTCACAGTTTTCATCATAGAACCTGGATATCATTATGTATTTAGGACTAAGGGCCTCCGTGTGTTTTTCCGCATAATCTCTTTGCTTTCCCTTACTGAGTGTTTGTCAAATGCAACTCATTAAACAAAGTACTCCTTTATTCTCGGGTAGATGGAACTAAGAGCGAACAAACAGCAGTAATGCACTTGCTGCAGAGAAGAGAAAAAAACAACATTCCAAGAAATTTTGTTAATACATGCCAATGCAGTTTTATATGAGATGGGATAGTTCCATTCAAGAGAAACTGCATTTTTCCAGGATTTCTACAGTGAAGAAAACATCTCAGACCTCACATCCAGCCGTAAGTGCCACACAAACAGGAATGAAACATAACTGTATTTTTTATTACACTTGCAGTGCTTATACTTGAACTTACCATGCCTTTAATTTGGTTCATCCCATTAAATGTAATGTACGATTACTATTTGCAGTGGTTTGCATTTATGTTTGCATGTTTGTATATGCTGAAATTTTAAAAAGGAAGCAATGAAAAAGGCTAACACAAGATCCTAATTAGCTGTTCCAGAATATGCTTTTGAATGAGTTCTGAGCTATCCAGACATGTCAGTTCCTTCTGTAAAAGGAAGTTAAACCATCTTTCTCATGGGCCCAATACAGCAAATGATATGTATTTGCCAAAGCAACTCTTCACAGTTTGAACAAACCGGATTTGGAAATAGGCAGGTCTTCGAAATAACATTTTAAAACGAGTAGCTGTTAATATTCTCACCTTAACTATAAGCTTTTATATATATATATGCTGGACAGAGTTAGCACAACCTTGAACAATTACCTGAACTAAGTACAATGTATAAATTAGAGGATTACTTGTTATGTAATGCCACTAAAGACTGATAGAATACATAGTGATCAAAACCTTGTCTTATGTATAATGAATTGAAGTAAGTGTACAGTGCTTACAGATATTTTGTGTTCCACTTATTTCAACTTTATCCCCTATTATTATGGATTTTCAAAAAAGTTCTAATGATAAAGACCAATTTTAATATTATTGTTCATATTTAGATAGAATGTCTTAGAAAGCACAATCCAGGACTGAGGACTGCCCTTTCTCTATCACTCTGATAAAAGACAAAACCTGCCAATTAAACAGCGCCACTTAAAAGGCAGGACATCATTTCTAATCCTCCTCACAGAGGTTTCAAACCACTGCTCTTCATCTGCTATCCCAACAGT